TTGTCAAGAGGAGCAGTCGCCTAGATTCTCATCCTTCCTCTCTCTCTCCATGCCCCACTTTTTTTTATACACTTGGGATGGGATCAAGCGATTTGTAATTTACATAGTCATCTAAGTTGATTGATAATACCTCGTGGATGTGTGCTGGAATTAGAGTGGTGAAAGCCCTAGGGCTTAATAAATATTAAACATTTCATTTTATGTTTCTATCTTATGTGTGTAAACTATTAGCAATATTTGATTTTGAACAATTGTTTAAATATTTCCTTTTTTAATATAAAGAAGAATTACCTTTTTCAAAAATCATTATACGTTTGAAGCTTTATTGTTGGCAAACTCAGCTACCCTATATCATGTTCTGTTTGCCACTTGTATATAAGACATTATATTCAAATTTAAAAAGAAAGGGAAATGTTATAACGCGGCTGGTTACACGGCCACACTGTACGCAAAACATTCATCTCAGTCTTTCATCTCTTCTTCATATCAATCATTGTTAATTTCCTCCCAATGTAATTCCAAAGTTTAATTCCTCGAAGAGTTTAAAGTCTGAGAGTGTTTGCGGTTTAGGCATTAACACGATTAAAAGAACACTACGTGATCGTATTTTTTTTTAAATTTAGAACTATATGAATTAAACCTATGAATAAAACATAAGGAAATTGTGCCTTTTAGCAAGCATATCGGGGTTCAGCCAATAACTCTGAAAAATATTTGATACACAGTGACCTTTATTGAAGGCACACGAGATAACCAAGTGTAAACAAAATTTCCTCTGTCTCTTTAAAAAAAAAAAAAAATAACCAGCGACCAGTAACATAAAACACTCTCCACTTCCAAAGTTATTTTTGGTGAGTGTAAATTGTTAAATTTACTCTAATATACCGCATCGCACATCGAGCTGCTGATGGGATATTTTGTGCTGATCCTCTAAAATGCTTTTTCCTAAGCAATGATGCACACATACAACACCTTACCTTTTACTAGATCTTTTACCTTATTCGTGATTAGGCTGAAGTTAAAGGTAATGCTCGAAAGATTGCTAGATAAAGGATTTTAATATAAATATATGTTTATGAATATATTGATAGGTTATGTAAATATATCATTCAAATATTAATATGCATTTTAATTGTTTCAGAGCGTAGATTTATTTATATTGTGACGAAAAAATAATTTATCATTTGATTTAATATTATTCAATGAAAATATTCAACAGATTATAAAAATACAGAGTCTGTTTTTGTAAAATCATCTTAAAAATATTTCTTTGTTGGCTCGATATTCTCTAGCTGTATATAGTTTGGTTGATTGGTTAAAAAATTGTCGACTAGTCGCCGTGACCACATCAATAAATACTTTCACACCTTCAGATACACAAAGACTTAATTTCTACGCTACAAGTGGTGGAGAAGCTGGACCGATACCCATTAAGCAATAAAAGGAAAATTAATTCTGTTAAATCAGAATAAACTTCTATGAATGTAAAGACGGAAACAAGTACCCAGGTGAGCAACTACGTTGTTCAACATCTGCCAAGAAAACCTTCCATTTTCTCCGGGGAGGGTGGTGAAGATCTCCAAAAATGGTTAAAAGGGTATGAACGTGTGGCAAGGTACAACCATTGGGACGAAACCCTTTGTCTTACTAAAGTTTATTTTTATCTGTCTGGAACTGCTCTAAAATAGTTTGAGAACAACAAAGAAAACATTCAGACATTGAAGGAATTCACATCTTAATTAGAGAATGTGTTTGGAAAAAAAGAAAATTCAAAATTACAAACGGAGAAGAAACTTAAAAAATGGGCGCAATTAAAAGGTGAGAGTACCGAATTTTATATCCAGAATGTCCTGTGCTTGTGCAAAGAGGTTGTCCTCAAATGAGCGAGGAAGATAAAATCTCCCACCTCATTAAGGGGATAGCTAAGGAGCTTTATCAAGCACTCCTACCCAGGGATGTACAGAGCACCGAGCAATTCATTACAGAATGTCGCAGTGTCGAAGCGCTCATTTGTAGGCGAGTTACCCCAACCAGGTACGAGCGCCTACCAAATGTAGCCTCTCTCTGTGACCAGGATGACGGAGAAGATCTGTCATCGCTGATCCGAAAAATTGTCTGCGAGGAGATACAGCAAGCATTGCACTTTCCTCAAAAGGAGCCTAAAATCGCCGCCATTGAAGATTTAGTGAGGGAAGAGATTGTAAAGACCTGGACGTCTATATCAAAGCCTACAATAAGTCCCCTCAAGCACCTAGGCCGGAATCAAATCCTAAATTCGAGGCTCAACCTAGAACTCCCCATCCCACAACTCAGTTTCAGAAACAAGGAAGAAGACGTGACACCAATGAATGGCGGACAACTAAGGTAAAGCCAATCTGTTTTTTTTTCTGCGGACGCCCAGGTCACGTCCTCCGCTATTGCCGCGACAGGAAGAGACACAATGAGGAAAAGAGAAATGAATATTTCCAAAGAAAGCAAGACGGAATTGTATTCCACAACTCTCGAGCCGAATCTCAGGAGCCCAACGACGAATCATCGAGGAAATTTTTCAGTCGCAACCGAAACCCTACCCCATATCCCTGTCGAAACAGACAACATTTCTCACATGCTAGAAGATCTAGCTGGACACCCCGCCATGAAAACTAGATGATAGACCATGTTGGAGGTGAGGCCGCAAAGTTAGAAAATTTTCCCTTGCCGACCACAGTAGAAATGAGAAAAAACTAAATTGACGTAAATATAGACCTGCCAAGCCCTCATGAAGAAGATATCTCAACTGAAAGAAGACATCCACCGCAGTCACCTGAAAATATTCCTTGCCCTAGTAATAGTTCTTAAGACTGACGACGTAAAGCTCCTGTTGAGCATCGGGTCGATGCTCTTTATAGGAGGAGGCTATGTGACGAAAAAATAATTTAGTATTTAATTTAATATTATTCCATGAAAATATTCTACAGATTATAAAAATATATATTACTCTGTAGATTATTTGCTTGCTCGATATTCTCTAGCTGTATATAGTTTGGTTGATTGGTTAAATAATTGTCGACTAGTCGCCGTGACGTCATCAATAAATACTTTCACACCTTCAGATATACAAAGACTTGATTTCTACGCTACAATATAATTAAATTATATCTGTCTATTAGAATATATATTATAATAAGTGTATCCTAATTTGCATATAAACACGCATTAATAAATCATTAGGAATACGCATACAGAAATGACACATTGCAGTTATGCGCTCCTATTTCAAAATAAAAACAACTATAAATAATTATACAATATATTGATATACATCCACAATATATATTTAGAACCTAGAAAGACCTGCTCTTTTCAAAATATAAATATATTTGTTATAAATATTATGATTCAAGAGAAAGGAAAGGAGAATATAATGAATACGTAATAGCACGATACCTTCACCTCCTAGATAAGTTCATATAATCATATAGATATGGATTAATTCTGCAAATAATATATTGAATGCAAATATGTCACACACAAAATTTCTATATTTTGATAGATAAATAAAACATTTCTAAGAATTATAATATATTTTCTTTATTTTTAATAGAAGGTGTAATTATACATATATTGAATCTCACCTATTGGATTTTCTTCTTTTGAAACTAAGATATTATAAAATATTGTATAGTTACAAATACATGCCATTCACGTGTCTATTGTGTTATACGAGAGATACGTATATAGAGAGAAGACAAGATAAATCTCAAAGGAAAAGGATAAATCTTTTTTTCCCCGCGGCCAGACTTACTTGGATTATCTCCAGTTTTGCTTGTTAAGGCGAATTTGCTTATTCACGTAGGCGATGCTCCTTTATATGGGATTTGTCTTTTGTTTTACTGGTTAAAATTAGTATTTACGGTACAATGTTTATAGTTTATTATATATAATATATATTTACACTTATCACTAAATAAATAAAATCTAAAATATATTTGTTTTAAAATAAAGTTTCAAAAAATATTTTTATTTGAAATTTGTTTATAACTATATATAAATTATTCTAAAAAGGGGTAAATTGTGGAAATGTCAGAGTTAAAGGTAAAATAAATTTTAAAAAGGAAAACCTGATTTTATAATAAAGATATAGTAGGAATAAATCAAAAATATTATTTTAAATTGTGTTTTTTATTTTTTTTTTATTTCCCAAATTAAATGCGGCTCTTATTCCCCCATTCTTCAGATAAAAAAAGGATAGGAATTCAAAATGTAAGCTATATATAGAAATATAGAAAGATGTCAAGAAATGATACTTCAAATAATATAAATTAATTATGTCAATCACAGTGCGATATTCCACTTATACGACATCTTGGAGACTTAGAGGAATATTTTACCCAAACGTCACAGAGATAATTAGACCAAATGAAAACTTTTCAATATCTATATATCTATATATATGTATAACTAGCCGAATGACCCGGGCAACGCCCGGGTTTTACCCGATTAAATGTTTTTATTTAAATACTATTCGTTACAATTATAAATTGGCGGCGTGGATGTCACTCTTGTGAAACGTCCCGCTCCAAACTTTGTGTCTGAGAAGCGATATTTTCATAGAAAGATGATCTGGCTTTTGTTTTCTGCTCGAATGAATGTTTTTCTGTTAGAATTTTGTTCCTGCGTACAAAATAATGAACTGGTTTCACCCGTGGTCTCTGCTTTTTGGAATTTTTCCCGATATAATTTTGTATCTGATAATCAACAATGATACAGCAATATCGTCATCATCATTTTCTGACTAATAATATATAGTTTTAATAATTGATTTATATATTTTTTTAAATAGCCTATCGTCTTCCCCGTATTTTTTTACCTATGTATGGAAATTTTGGTTTGAATTAGTGAACTACTGCGAATTTGTATACCGGACATGCAAAACAACAAACAAACAAACATACAAACATTCATTTTTATATATATAGAAGATATAATATAAATAAGTTTTAAAAATTGTTAAAAAAAAATGCATCGGCCGGGAATCGAACCCTGGCCGCCCGCGTGGCAGGCGAGCATTCTACCACTGAACCACCGATGTTTTAAAAAAAATGGCCATATTTAGGTATTCATTCCATTCCGGATTAGTCCGCGTAAAAAAAGTTATTCAAATGAAAAAAAAATAGCCAAAAATACTAATCAAAATGCAGCCGAAAATTTTCCTCAGGTTTATAAAAAGCGACATGCAAAATTTGGTACCAATTGGTTCAGTAGTTTTTGAGTTTATCGCGAAACAGACAGACAGACAGAAATTGACTTTTATATATATGTATAATAGGGCGTGTGTTTGCTTAAAAATGAATAGAAACTATGAATGGATAATATTTTCTTTAAAATTCGTTCAATAAAGGTATGAAAATATTTATAGATTGATAGAAACAGTATTGCGCTTTTGTGTCATTTAAAATAAAGTAATTAGCTTTAGAAGAAATTAAATCGGACCATTCACTCATTCTAAAATTCCAATTGTGTTGAAAAGATTAAATAACACATAGTAATGGGATTATTTAAAATTGAATTACACCTCACATTCAAAAATATTGTTAATCAAGTAGGTAAATGGGATTTAGGATATCTAGAATTTATAAAATATAAATTTTCTTCAAAATTTGTGCTATAATGTTTGACTTAAATTCATTACCACCCCGCAGATTGGATAATTAGGTGAAGTCCTGACAAGCTGAAAGTATCGGGGCAAGAGGTTTAGGTTATCTCTCTCTCTCTCTCTTCCTTGTATCGTCTCTAGTGTATTGTATCGATCAAGTTTTCAAATCTTAAGTTGGGAAAATACCTTTCTATTCTTCTACCTCTCTATAACAAAAGGATAATTTTACCAACTCCGAAACATTTTTCGTTCTCTTGGGAGTATAAATCTGTTCTTTGAAACCAGGATCTAAAAGTGTCATTTCCTTCTCCTAGAAATAATGTATATAATCAAAAGAAGAACAGATAATAAGTACGTTATTTATTTGGTACGAGAAATTATGTGATCTTAGTGCTTTCTATATTTTCTGATAGATCCTGATGAGTGGCGGTATCTTGACACTATTTATGTAGGAGCAGTTCTAATTTGCACATACCTCTTTGGCGATGTTGAAATTGTATAATTTAAAAAGACAAAATATTTTATCGCAGTAATGACAGTAGAAAATTTGTCTCATTTTTTATTTTTTTATTTAATAATCAACCAGGCGCGATATTGAAATATTTACGCCTTTTACAGAGGAAACAAACAAAACAACTAATTGAACTTAAAATTGAATATTTACAGATTTACATGTATTAATCGACAGAGTTCATAAAATTCATATAGACAAAGTGGCTGATCTAAGAGAGGTGAATCATTCAGATCAGGAAACAATCGATGTCTCACTTCTGCAAAGTTCGGACAGTCGTAGATAAGGTGAAGAGCAGTTTGTTCAGTTTCTCCGCAGAAACAATTTGGGGTTTCTGATAGACCTCTTTTCTGTAAGTATTTCTGGAATTTCCGTGTGATGTGACAAATTGAATGACTATAAAATTTGGATGGAACTGTGTAGGAATTCCGTTTGAAAAAATAGTACGTAATATTTTAGCATTAAGAATAGATTGATACAAATGATTCATAAAAATATATTTTTCTTGGCAAATTATAGTTGTAAGTATTTTTCTTGTTAAAATTGTTTTTGTGTTCGTATTTGATTGATTTATAGTTAAGATTGTCTTATATGAAGGTTTATACGAAAGGAGGTATGAACATTCGTATGATATGGTTCAATATCCATGTACCACTGAGATAAGAATATTAAGTTGTAATGAGAATGAAGTTTCTGTACAGAACGTATAAATTTGTTTTATTTTTAAAATATTAATTCGTGCTTAATATGGTTTTAGTTCTTATATATAAATGTTGAAATATTTTCTTATAATTAATTTATGCCTAACTGGCCCTTTCTTGATTGTTGGCGGAAGTAGATTGCTAAATGCAAGTATATTTATATTTAATTACACTATCTTAAACTCTTATAGCTAACTACTAAAAGTTCACTCCACATTCTCTTAATAATAAAAAGAGTTTAATACAGTTCTAAAAAGCAGTCTGGTGGATTAAATCGGAGAAACCACTGAGAGGGTTCACTACTGTTAGGCTAAGCCCTCTCATTATTTTTCATCGCAATAAGGCCAGTAAAATTTTGTTTTATTTGAAAAATAACCATTTTTGTTTTATGGTTATTTTTTAACCTCAATGAAGAAATCGTTTTGTATAGTGCTTGAATGTAAACTTGAACCCTGATCCTTGTTGTTGGAGACCTCAGTTTACTCACTCTCTCCCCTAATTACATGTTTAAATTTGGTCGATTAAATATAGTTGTAAAGCCATAAAACCCACCTGAAAATGTGTTGATGCTATATTTATGAGAATTATGTGGAAAATTTAATTAAATATATTTTCAAATTCTGAAATCGAATAAAATAAATATACTTTTTATTTAGGTCATTCTTGTCTCTTTCTCTTTCTGCAAATAATCAAACCTTCAGTAGGTATTACATTACATCATAATTGTAGTTAATAAAGTTTTTACTTTAAATAAAACCATTGTTTTATATATATTTAGATTCCTCCTCCATTTAACGTTTAACAAATTGAAAATTCAAGCTTTAAAAGGCATTATGCAAATATTAAGTACCATTTGTGAATCCCTAAAATGGCTGCCATGGAAACGATGCCAGAATAACTGACTATGAATAAAATTGGGAGGAAGTTTTATTGTAGTTGGAACAATGTGTCTGCAGGTGTCCACTTGCAATATGGTCCTTTCAGTAATGCCACAGCAACATTCAAGAAAGTTAGTACTAATATGTTTTTGTTATTTATAAAAAATTTCTGAGGAACAACATAACATGATTTATCAGATTGAATATCCTCAATTTTGCGAACAAAATGCTATTCAAAAATCTTCCAAGTCACTACCATCTTTGATCAAGAGATGCGTAGTGTGGCTTGATAATAAAGCTGTTGTAAATAGAAACCCGTGCCGCAATACTAGCCTGTCTATATCATAAAAAGTAAAGTTTGGAAAGTACTGGTATTCAAATCGCGCTTAGATTCAATCTACCTTAATAGGAAGAGGAAATTACCAAGACATTCTATTTTTAATATGTAAATCATTTTTTAAAATATGTTAGCAATAAATTTGTCCCAATTTTATCAATTTACTCTTTCTGAATTTAATATTTGTCTATAAAAATTGGATTAAAAATTCGAATCAATTAGAAATAACTGATTGATATATGTATTTCGGATCGAACTACAAAAAAACTAAGCATTTTATATATTATCTAAAAATAATATCTGGCGTCAATCTAATTTAAAAAAATCAATTATCTGAAAATATGTGTGAATTATAAATTTCAAAGCGACAATATCTCACTAGGCTATAAAGTATTTTCCTATATGGCTCTACTCTTAATCAACAAATATTTTACTTATCCTCCTTATCACGAATCCATGCCAATAATAGTGGGCAGTTAGAGATCCTCTTTTACTGGGAGTACACCACATCTCTGCACAATTATAAAGTAATTCAACTTTCGCACTGACAATGTCTCAGGATCCATTGCGATTACCTGAGCTTACTGGGAAAGTATTAGTGGCCACTTTTAAAGGCCTCAAATCCTCGCTTTTATTTCAATATCCAAAAGATTTATTAAAGGCTTGTTCTATCTTTTTTTATTTTATCAGTAAATGGTGAATATATTTAGGAATAGGTAATTGTATATTAACAATATGCATTTCAAAAATAAAACTACAACCTTTCTCAATGAGTTTCTTTTATTATGATATGCGCGAGCTTTCGGGCTGGAGCCGCCCTTCTACAGGCAAAAAATGAAATATTTGATTCACGAGAGACAGTTATATACATTTGATTTGTTACAAATTTTACTTAAAAAATCAGAATGAAAAGTATTAAATCTACATAAATTATTACTATTTTACTATGTTTAACAATTAGAAATAATTTAACCTTAAATTTCAATATTTTAATAAAGTTAAGTTTTAAACTATGAATTGGATAAGCGAGAAATCTGATTTTTATGGTATGGAATATGAAAAAATTGTTCTGGGATTTATATTCTACGATTAATGCTATTGTGTTGTTTGGAAATCAGCGATTCAACGATTAATCTTTCAGATTTGGTGGTTATGTTACTGTAGTGGCAAGTTGGACTGTCTAAATTAAATTTGTGGCCGGTATTAATGGTATGTTGAAAAATGAGGGATCTTGGATCTTTGGTCTTCATATTGTAAGTATGTTCCTTCAATTTTACTGCTTGTTTCTCCTACGTATATAGATGGACAATCAATGCATGACACGGAATATATGGCATTTTTCTTCTGAAGGGGGTTCTGGTCTGTGGTCGATTTTGTGATGGGATTTCTAAGGATATTCCCGATGGTTCTTGGGGTGCGGAAAAAGAACTTGATTCTGTATTTCTTTTTTTCCAGGGCTATTTTTAAATTGGTTGGTGAGTAATCAATATAAAAGGTCGTTTTGAAAGTCTGCTGGGTTCTATGATGAGATGGATTGTAACAGTGTTGATCGATGAACACATTAATCGTAGAATATAAATCCCAGAACAATTTTGTCATATTCCATACCATAAAAATCAGATTTCTCGCTTATCCAATTTATAGTTTAAAACTTAACTTTATTAAAATATTGAAATTTAAGGTTAAATTATTTCCAATTGTTAAACATAGTAAAATAGTAATAATTTATGTAGATTTAATACTTTTCTTTCTGATTTTTTAAGTAAAATTTGTAACAAATCAAATGTATATAACTGTCTTTCGTGAATCAAATGTTTCATTTTTTGCCTGTAGAAGGGCGGCTCCAGCCCGAAAGCTCGCGCATATCATAATAAAAGAAATTCATAGGTTGATGAGGTATGAACCAAATAGAACAATTTATTTTTCATCGACGACTTTATCAATCTATATTATATAATAACCTGCTGTTCTCACATTTTCTCATCAGCTTCATTTTGTCAAATATCAAG